TGAATCGAGCATGTAGCCGCTCTCCACGGCATGCGCGACGACATCGGGATGATCTCTGCAGATCACCCCCGGCCAGGTGCTGACGGCCCAGTCAAATTGGAAGCCGTTCGCCCGGGCGCTCTGGTCCACGCGGGCAAGCTTCCAGGCATCTGTCTCCAGGTGAACCATCTGAACACCCGCGAGTCCTCTGCGCCCTTGCTCGCACTGGAATCCCAGCGGCGGCAAAATCGGCAAGCCGCCGCCCTCAGGACGCTTGGAGGTGTTACCTGCAGCGGGCGGGGGAACTCGGGTGCTCGTGCTCGTGTCAGCGCACTCGGGAGCTGGGACGCGTTTGACCCAGAGGTCCTGGCACGGGCTGGGCTCCGGGTCACAATCGCCGAGGAACACGCTGCACCCACCGTTCACGCCCTGTCCATCAGCAGGATTGCACGCGACCGGCTCGTAGTTGACCCCCGTGTACCCGAGCATGTTGTCGCACCACTCGAAGCACTCGTCCAGAGAGAAGGCGGTCCTGCGTGCGTGCCAGTTGCGACAACCAGTCTTCGCGTACTCGTGATACTTCTGTTCGAAACTGAAGCTCGTCAGACCACCCCGAAACCGAGTCCGACTGGTGACCGTCCACAGTGTGCCAGCCGCTGCAAGTAAGGACGCCGCGGTAGCAAGCACTGCAACATTCATGCCCCAATGCAACCTGAGCGATAATTCGTGGATGGGTGCAGTCCCAGTAGAAGGCGTGGCGCAACACTCCTGCGCCACGTCTTCGTAAATGTGAGGAGCCCTAACTGGCATGCTGGATGCATCAAGGGAAGAGCTGCTGAAACAAATCGCGATTCCAGCGGGCAGACATGCTCTAGCCAGCCGTAAGCTTGAGCCGCAAAGGCTTGAGCCCAAATGGCTACGGATCCTCTGTGGCAGCATGTTGGAAGCCTCTTGGAGGCTTCTGTGACCCTCTTGGACTGTCTGGGCGCGTCTCGAGAGTCTGTGGGGGATCTCTTGGGGTGTCTTGCTCTCTTGAACTGTCTTGGGGCTCTGTTGGGCAATCTCGAGGCTCCCACGAAACACTCTGATTTAGCTAGGAGGATCCTGACCACCAGCCCAGGCACGGTGGCGCGGTGGGCAGAGACCACTAGATAACTTCCACGATCGTCGCAAGCATGTACTCCTTCTGGGAGCCATGTTGCTTTCATGACCACTGACCCACACAATCAGAAGGCCCAGAGAAGCACCCCAAGAGCCCCTCATATGTATGCAAGAGTCTCCTGACCCAAAGTAAAACTTCCACGATCGTCTCAAACACTCACTCCATGAGCCACTTGACTAACATGTGCAGGAACCCACCGGACTCCACAGGATCCCAGAACAATTCCTAAAGGGTGCCTGAAGGCTTCAGCAATGAGATTAGAGACGACGTCGAAAAAAGCCTGGCCACTGGGGTGAGATCAAATCCGCCGACCCTGTCGGCGTGTGTGAGAGGCTTCTCCGTTCGACTCGTCGTCTCCGTGGTCTCCGTTCTCCCCCTCCCAGGGCTCTCCTCCTCAAGCGAGCTATCCAAAGCGAAATTAAACGACGTCGTAGTGGAGTCGAAGGGAAGCCCCTTCCCTTTGATCCCTTCCCCGCAGAGGGGGGGAGGGGGGGGGGGGGGGGCGGGGCAGATACGACGCCCGCCGGGGGCGCACTTTCCTCGAGCGGGCACGCACGGGATGCACTTCCTCCTCCTCCTCCTGGTCTTCCTCTCCTCCTCCTCCTCCTCCTTTTCCTCCTCCTCCTGCTCCTCTCCTCCTCCTCCTCCTCCTCCTCCTCCTCCTCCTCCTCCTCCTTTTCCTCCTCCTCCTCCTCCTCCGCAGAGGCGTCCCGGGAGCGGGCCCCGAGTCAAAATACCCCCCCTAGGGCGCATTTTCCTCGAGCGGGCACGCCCGAGATGGACTTCTTCCTCTTCCGGGAGCACGTCCCAAATCAGAATATCACACTCCCGGGGCGCACTTTCTTCGAGCGGGCACACAAAGGATGCATTTCCTCCTCCTCCTCCTCCTCCTCCTCCTCCTCCTCCTCCTCTCCTCCTCCTCCTCCTCTCTTCCTCCTCCTCCTCCTCCTCCTCTCCTCCTCTCTCCTTCTCCTCCTCCTCCTCATCATCATCCTCCTCCGCCTCCTGCTCCTCCTCCTTCTCCTCCTCCTCCTCCTCCTCCTCCTCCTCCTCCTCCTCCGCTTCCTCCCCCCACTCCTAGCCCTTTCGATCAGGGTCGGCGGCACCGGCCGGCAGGCCTCTCCAATAGACTCGGCTCAAGTTTTATTCAGATCGTTTGTGGCCATTGCCTTTTTTGCGTTCGGAAAACATAGCCCCGCGCAACCATCGAGGCCCCGTGCAATATCCCCCAAGTGCATCGAGGTCATTGTGTACCACCACCCCAAAACAAATATCGAGACCCCGCGCACTTCCCCGAAGCAACCATCGAGGCCGCTGTATGCACGCTAAAAGAAAAACCATCGGGGCCCCGCGCGTTGCCCCCGAAATGCATCGAGGCTGTTGTATGCACCCTCCACAAAACCATCGAGGCCCCGCGCGCTGCCCCCGAAATGCATCGAGGCTGTTGCATGCACCCCCCACGAAACCATCGAGGCCCCGCGCGCTGCCCCCGAAATGCATCGAGGCTGTTGCATGCACCCCCAGGACACCGTCGAGGCCCCGCGCGCTGCCCCCGAAATGCATCGAGCCTGCGGCATGCACCCCCAGAACACCGTCGAGGCCCCGCGCGCTGCCACCGAAATGCATCGAGGTGGCTGCAGGTATGGCCGAAAGCCACAGCAGCCCCGCGCGCTGCACCCGAAACGCATCCACAAGAGCAACCGAAGGGCCACATCTCGCGCGCAGGAACCAATGAGCGAGGTAAACCTCTACAGAATCAACAAGTTCATAAGCGAGGTCAGCCTCGACTCTTTTATTGATCGTGGTACACCTCCCTAAGGCGGGCCAGGTGCATCTCAGTGCTATGTGGTCCCGATGACTGTCTGGATGGTTGTCCAGGTAGGTGTCCCGGTGGCTGTGGCCAGTGGTTGTCCTAATGCTAGTCCCGATGGGGTCCCCATGGTTCTCCTGATGGCTGTCCCGACGGCTGCCCCGAAGGCTGTCCCAAGGGTGGTCCTGACGGTTGTCCCGATGGTTGTCCCGCGGTTTTCCGTGATGGTCATGACAGTTGTCCCGATAGTTGTTCCGCGGTTGTCCCAAAGGTTGTTCCGTTGATTGTCCCGATGGTTACCCCGATTCATATCCCGATCGTTGTCCCGATGGTGTCCAGACGGTTGCCCCGAGGATGCCCCGTGGTTGTCCAGATGGCTGTCCCTGTGGTTGTACCGAAAATAGTTCCGATGGCTGTCGCGGTGGTTGTCCCCGTTGTTGTCCAGTGTTTGTCCTGTTGGATTTCCCGACAACTGTCCCGATGGTTGTCCCGATGGCTGTCCCGATGGTTGTCTCGGTGGCTGTCCCAATGGTTGTCCCAACGGTTGTCCCAGTGGTTGTCCCGATGGCTGTGGCGATGGCTGGCCCGATGGCTGTCCCGATGGCTGATACGATAATTGTCACGACGGTGTTCCCGTGGTTGTCACTTCAAGTGTCCGGATGTTTGTCCTGATGGTTGTCCCGATGGTTGTCCCGATGATTGTCCCGATGACTGTCCCGATGGCTCTCCCAATGGCATTGGTTGCCACAACGGATTTCCCAATGGCTGTCCCGATGATTGTACCAGTGGCTGTCCCGATGCTGGTCCAGACGGTTGTCCTTATCCCCATGGATGCTCAGATGGCTGTCCCGATGGGGCCTCGCGGATTCCCGTGGTCTTCCTGACGGCTGTCCCGATGGATATCCCGGTGGTCGTCTCGATGATTGTGCCATGGCTGCAGCAACGGTTAACCCGAAGGTTTTCACTATGGTTGTCCCGATTGTTCACCTGTCTCGACGGCTATCCTGATGGTCGCCCCGATGGTTATGACGACGGTTACCTCGATGATAGTCCCGATGGTAGTCCCGATGGTTTTGCCGATGGTTGTCCCGACGTTTTGTCTCGATGGTTGTCCCGATGGTTGTCCCGATCGTTGTCTAGATGGCTGTCCCGATAGGTGTCGCGGTGGGTGTCCCAATGGTTGTCCCGACGGTTGTCCCGATGGCTGTCCCGATGGCTGTCCCGATGGTTGTCCGGACGGCTGTCCTCATGGTTGTCAGGTTGTCCCGACGGTTGTCCCCATGGCTGTCTCCGTTGTTATCCCGATAGATGTCCCGGTGTTTTGTCCCGGTGGTCGTTCCGATGTGTGTTCCGATGGTTGTCCCGATGGTTGTGTCGATAGATTGTCCCGATGGGTGTCCAGATGGTTGTCTCGTGGTTGTCCCATGGTTGTTTCGCGGCTGTCCCGTGGTTTTCGGATGCGAAGCATTCGAAGTCAGGCCCTAACCCCCCAACCTACTTGTCGCACCAGCTTGGTCTTGTACGTGTAGAGATGCAAGTGGCCGAGCACTAAAGGACTCCCATCCTAGGGGTGGAGGATCCCGCACAGTGAGGACAAATCGCAAGACACGTTCTACTCAGGGCCACGCCCCTTTAACGGTCGGAACGAGCTCTCTGGACCACGACTTGCTGGTCCCCCGCCAGCCACATGCCGAGATGGAGACCGAGACGTTTGACACGAAGCCATGGATGATGGGCCTGTTTTCCACCACCACCATAATTTGGAGGGGGAGGGGGTCCTCCTCCTCCTCCTCCTCGTCCTTCTCCTCCTCTTCGTCCTCCTCCTCCTCTTCGTCGTCCTCCTCCTCCTCCTCTTCGTCCTCCTCCTCCTCCTCCACCTCCTTCCCCCCTCCAACTTATGGTGATGGTGGAAAACAGGCCCTTCAATGGAGATGCTCAATCAGGGCCAACCACAACGCGCCCCCAGGGGGAGCTCAGGCGGAACGAGCGGACCTTGCTAGCATCGCTCACGTGACACTGTTCTCAATGCCGCAGTCCCATGCTGGGCTC